CTTGTGCTTTGTGCCCTTTATTCCTACTGTTCTGTAACTTGTGATGCAACACTGACATTTCCCCACTGTGGGAAGATTAAAGGATCACTTAATCATGATCTTGTTTATTGCAAGGGTTACATTCTAAAAATAACCTGCAAAAAGCAACATTTGCAAAGAAGCAGCTGTATGTTTTAAGGCTGTAAAACCCTTCACCACACACTTTTCTGACCACCATCACCACTGCTGAAGTGCGATGGCGGAGATATCCAACCTGTTTGCTGTAGGCTGCTGCAGCTGTCAAAAGCCATGCATGAACTGTAAAATACAGGAGCAGGTGGAGGACTGTTCTAGTCCTTTGAACTTAGGTGCCCAGAAGGTTTTCTGACTTTAAATAAAGGAAATTATCATCCATCAATCAATCAATCAATCATTTATTTGTATAGCACAATTCGTGTAAAAGGCAATTCAAAGTGCTTCACAAGAAAAAATAAATAAAACACAGATCAAAATGCATTAAAAAGTCAATAAATATACACATATTTAATAGTAAGATAAAGCAGCATAGAAGTATGGGGTCTAAAACACATCAAAAAGTGGGTTTAAAAAAAAAAAAGTTAATAAAGGTAATAAGCAGTACGAAATAGAATAAGTCAGTTGTATGCTATGCACAGCTAAAGAGATATGTTTTCAGCCTAGTTTTGAACATGGTCAGGGTAGAGGCCTGTGTCACAACCCCAGGAAGGCCGCTCCATATCCTAGCTGCATAAATATGAAACGCTGCCTCGCCATGTTTCGTCCTGACTCTGGGCACCTGCAGGAGGCCAGTCCCTGTGCTTCTCAGAGTTCGAGCTGGTTCATATGGCACTAGCATGTCATGAATGTACCCTGGTGCGAGGCCATGGAGAGACTTGTACAGAAGCAGAGCTGTTTTAAAGTCTATTCTCTGTGCCACAGGAAGCCAGTGCAGAGACCTAAGAACTGGACTAATGTGATCATTCTACCTGGTTTGGTCAGGACTCGATCTGCAGTGTTTTGAATGTACTGCAGCTGTTTTATTGCTCCTTTGGAAAGACCAGTGAGCAGGCCGTTACAGTAGTGTAGCCTACTGGAGACATCATGTTATACCAGTGGTTATATGATTTTGGAGTGCACTAGAAGCATGCTGTAAAAAAGCATGTTAAGAAATGAAGACAGAGGCAGCAGCGATCGCACTTGTAACCTGGTTTATTTACGAGTCCCTCCAAATTGTACAAGAGACGAGGCTTTTTATATGGTTTGTATCGATGTGCATAAGAACAGAAGATGTCATCCCTTGAGCTATAAATGATGCATTCTTAAGATATAGATTAGTTAGAAATGTGGGTCAGAAAAAATACTGAATAAGGTTTTAGCAGTAATACAGAAAATATGCAAGTCAGATTCTGCACAGACAGCAAACATATAACAGTGAGGCTGCGCAAGACATTTATAGTGAGAGACCACTCTACTATTGGTCAAACATGGAAATGACAGGTTTAGTGTAGTTTGCAGAGAGATTTTATGAAGGTATCTTTAAATAATCACTGATACAAATATGTAGTTCAAATGGCTCCAGAAATATTTAAGGGAAAGACATTTCAATTTCTAGTGAAGTAAACCCAATGAATTGATTGGATGTTTGAGAAGAATGCGACTGGAGGATTCATACAAACTTTGAGCCAAGATCACATGGACCTTTTTTGGAACCTTGGAGTTATGCTCATGTAAGAGCCACTTATTTCCTTGCAGAAATATTCAGAGAGACATTGTATATGTTTTTGAGGAAAGCTGCTAGCACCTGAAGCCAATGCGGGCTGGTCAATTTGTTTCATAATTTGTATGAAACCAAGGGTCATCGCAGAAACAGCCGTCAGTCCAATGAAAACAAAATGTCCCTTCGTTTATTCCTGATCACAGGAACTTGTGCGCGCAGGCCGGAGCGCAACACACAGTCTCATTCTTCTGCTCAAAATTGATCTAAATTTGTTATATTTTTTCTGTTTTGGTTTCATTGTGACTGTATTATTATAGAAAAATCTACATATGTTGAAATAATCTAAACTCCCACTGAAACCAAAGCAGAAGTTGGACTTAAAACTGAATTATAAACATTTTAACAAATGCATTGTGAAAGTGTGTTCACCTGTTAATCATGTCTGCACTGCATTAGTGGTTTTCATTTTGCAGCTTTATATTTGTGTGATAGAGGGGTGTCTGAATGTGTCTGTGCGCGCTCGCGCGCGTGTGTGTGTGTGTGTGCGTGTGCGTGTGTGTGTGTGTGCGTGTGTGTGTGTGTTTTATGTGTGTGTGTGTGTGTGTGCGTGTGCGTGTGTGTGTGTGTGTGTGCGCGCGTGTGTGTGTTTTATGTGTGTGTGTGTGTGCGCGCATGTAGTCTGCGCCAGTGCTTCCTCTTCTCATACCCAAATTGAAGGTGTGAATATACTGTACATCTTTTAGTATCACAAAAAACACACTAATACTTTAGATTGTGGGTCAAATATATAACTTAAATGTGTAATCTAGAGCATATAGGAATTATTTGTCCCTATCTTTTGGTAATAAACTTTGTTTTGGCTTTGAATCTAATAGAATTATGTCACACAATTCTGTTCATGGAGCTGATGGAATGGTAATTTATCATTCAGCCAACTTCAGCTCCATCATTATACAGCTCAAAACAACTCATCCATTCAGTTTTAGCTTCCAGGCTTTTGGCTCCTGGACCAGCCAAGTTAAGTAAAGTGACCCTCTGACCACTGGGAGGAGACCCAGGGGAAGACCCAGTACACCGTGTCTCTCAGCTGGCCTGGGAACGCCTCAGGATTCTCCTGGATGAGCTGGAGAAAGTGTGTGTGGATTGGGAAGTCTGGGCGTCTCTGCTTGAATTATGAAAATGGATTGATGGTCGGCCCTCTTACTAAAGAAGTTTTGCTCTGAGATGAGTGCACCATCCCCTTTGCTTTTTGCCACTTCATTTTACTTTCACTCTTGTCTTTGCCACGGACATCTGTGACATTTTACCCCGTGGCCAGGGCAAAACCTTGGAGACTTGTGAGGACGGTGGCCTTTGTGGGTCAAGCGTGTTTTGGCATGGCAGGAAGCTGTCTCTGTATAACGGACACTGTGTGATCACGCCGAGGTCCTTGTCATAACACTCAGGGCTTTGACTTATAACGAGACCAGAGGGAAGTTTCCGTACGTTTTCACCCATGAGCTGTGGTGCATATTTCCTCATTTTTTATTTCACCTTTAATCAGAGTTGGTAAAAGTCTGCCGTCTGTTAAAGCTGGGGTACCCAATATTAAATCCCAACATTGTTAACTTTATAATATAATCCATCGAAGTTTGTTACTATAAAGCAGTTTGGCAATCAGCTGCCACCCAATTCACTGAGCACCAGCCCCTCACTGATGCTCCTGCAGGTGGTGAGTCCACAGGAGCCTTGATCTTTCAGCGGGGGATTCAGGCAAAGTGGTGTTAAGTGTCTTGCTCAAGGACACAGCGACAGCAGACATCAGTGGCAGTCGGTGGAGAAGGTCTTGTGGTGGGCTCGAACCCACGACCTTCAGGCTCAAGGCCAATGCTCTACCAACTGAGCCAATGTCGCCCCGTAACAAGATTTAGGGGCTGCAAAACTAATTTTGAAATCCAAATATCTCTAGTAGTAATAGTAGTAGTAGTAAGTAATCTTTATTTATATACCGCCTTTTCACTGCAGATCTGAGTCTCAAAGTGGTTTACAATTGTTAATTACTCTCTCTACTCTCTACTAACTACTAACTACCTATTAGTTACAGACGTACTCGAAACAAGCATGTTTTATTGATACCTTTTGACAGATCTGGGCCATTTAATGATGACTTAACATGAAAATCTCACATATTGATTCTTTAAATTGGGTGGACCAATCTCTATTTTGGTTTTGGAAATATATAGATTGGTTGATTTTAGGAACATAATAATTAAATTCCAGATCTCCATCAGTCCATACAATCGTTTCGCAGGTTTTTTTTATGAATGAATAAATGAAGACGAGCTGCAACACATTATTGGTGTGAAGGAACTGCCCTCTTCTGTCTTCATCAAAGCTCCAACTGTGGGTGTGCTGCTTGTTTTGACATATGACGTTTGCATATCATTTTTCATCTGCTTCGTTATAGAAACCCGATCATTTGCGCTCCCATGTGTGACTTGATGATGTTTCCATCTATAATGTGATTCACGGTGTGTAGGTGTATAGGCCCACCTGGATTTTTTTCCACAAAAGCCCTTTTGCTGCTGTTTGCAGGAGCACTTTGAAGTTGGCTGCATTTTTTTTTTTTCCTGACGAGCTCGTCCCAAAGCGATGATATAATTCTCCCGGTTTCATAACAGATTGTAGCTAGCATGTCGGTGCTTTTAATGAGCAATATCGCAGGTGGCGTCGTGTGCAACGGTAAACAGTGCTTTTTAAATTGGTTGGCAGTGTGCGTACATATTTACTCACACTTGTCGTACTGTGGCCCTGCTCTTTGTTATCAGACCAGTAAACTGTGTCACCGCGCCGCTCCACAGACGCTTTCAACCCAGTCGCCAAGGATGGTAACCATAGCAACACTCTCACCAGACCAAAAGTTCAGCCAGCCTAGACTTTGGACTTTCTTCTTCCTATTGGTGTACATAGCGTTGAATGGACTGTATAAACATATGGGCATTGGTCATCTGCCCCTTATGGACCAATGGCTCTGTGTTTTTTATCATTGCGTTTCTTGGGTTTGAACTGTTTTAATCTCTGATCTGTGTTGGTTAAGTCCCCCGAGATAACTACTGTTGTGATTTAGGGGTAGACAAAAATAAATTGAATTGAATGTAAATATGCAAAAATAAAATGGATGGTGCATGGAGGTGATTAAATGTGTCTGGAAAGATTAGCGTGAGGATTAGGCTTTTATCCAGGGTCGGATTGTGGAAACAGCAGCCGAGACTTCTCTCTCCACACATAGAGAAGAATATGGAGGTATTCACTGGCCAACGGAGAGAAGATCTCCTCTCACCAGCTCTGGGGTCTGTCTGTGGGATCTGTCTGTGGAATCTGTCTGTGGGATCTGTCTGTGGGGTCTGTCTGTGGGGTCTGTCTGTGGAATCTGTCTGTGGGATCTGTCTGTGGGGTCTGTCTGTGGGGTCTGTCTGTGGGGTCTGTCTGCGGGGTCTGTCTGCGGGGTCTGTCTGCGGGGTCTGTCTGCGGGGTCTGTCTGCGGGGTCTGTCTGCGGGGTCTGTCTGTCGGGGGGGTCTGTCTGCGGGGTCTGTCTGCGGGGTCTGTCTGCGGGGTCTGTCTGCGGGGTCTGTCTGCGGGGTCTGTCTGTGAGCTCTGTCTGTGGGCTCTGAATCTAAGGTCTAACTCTGGGCTCTGTCTCTGGGGTCTCCTTCTGGTGAGACCTCTCCACCTCCACCCAGTTGCAGGGTGTTTTTACATGCATATTTTAGCGGACTGGAGAGTTTTATGAACGATTTACAAAACACATGGAAAAATATCACTCAAAAGTTACAAAGACATTTAACAGGTGGATTTTGAGAAGAGATTTAAGTAAGAAAGGTCAGAATTTCTGATGTAAAAATATCAAATTACAACCTTTCTGACCAATACGGCAATACGTTTTTTTGATGTCATGTCTTAATTTTGTTCATGGCTAAACAATTAACTTCCAAAGAGTTCAATTTTAAAAACAAAAAACCGTTTCTGGTGGAAATAAAAGATGACCTAAATGCTTGAATGAGGTAGTGTTTATCTTTGCTCACAAAATGTGTTTAGTCATTTATTGTGCATAAAATTTGTTTTATATATTTGATGAAAAAGATGATTTTCAATTCCGCCCGTACACAAGGCAAAAGATACTGTTAAAGATTGTTATTATAGTTAAAATCGATATTTATTTATTCATTTTTTCTTTAAATTTGGAAAAGGAAGAAATGGGGAGGAAATAAAAACAAAACTAGCAGTCAGTCCTATGTTTTATTTATTTATATATATATATATATATATATATATATATATATATATATATATATATATATATATATATATTGTTGCAATAGGATAACTATAGTTGTAAGATAACTATTGCAACAACACATCATCAGTCGGTAAAACAAACCTGTCTCACGACGGTCTAAACCCAGCTCACGTTCCCTTTTAGTGGGTGAACAATCCAACACTTGGTGAATTCTGCTTCACAATGAAAGGAAGAGCCGAAGGATCTCTTGTTCAATAAGATCGATTTGGCTAAAGTTTGCTCATCAATAAATCATTCTTGAAAAGTATTTGTTTCCCATTGATTTATGAAAGTTGTCATTGACAAGCTCTGGTCTCGCGTCTCCTTTCTGTTCCCTGCCCTTTACACAGCGCTTCAGTCTTGATTAAACTGTCGATAAACCTCATCATAACCACCCCAGTGACTTCAGGCCAGTGCTCATGTGTTCCTCTGCGCCTGGACCAGACCAGCGGGCCGCCTTTGTGCCGGGGAAAGGAGGCGGCGCTGAACCAAGTGGATCTATAGCTCTGAAGAATAGGTTGATGTGGAAGGAAAGGTCAGGCTGCTGGGGTGGACTGCCGGCCGGAGTACTACATGTAGGATACACTCGCAGTGTTGGCTGAACCTTTACACAGTGGAGCATTAAAGTGTGTGTGACAGCCCCCAGGTCGCTCTTACTCTCCTGATCAACATTGTGAGACCAGTTGACCATATATTGAAAACAACTTTGAAGTGAAATGCCATATATGCTTTATCAGCTTATCAAAGTGTAAACACCTTTAGCCAAAATGTGCGCAAACATGTTCAGTCATGACCTGCTGATGGCGGAAAAAACAAATATCTTTTTTTGTGATGAACATGGTTGAAGTGTTGACGAGGGATAGACCAAACGACTGTTCTGTAACCATCGGACAGAATCTGAGTGGGCTTCATCTACAATTGCCTCTTTCTTTGTCCTTTGTCTTGTTTTCTATACATTACTTACTCAACATTTGGTGTCATTCCCATTTCTTTGCTTTGCATTTGAAGCTCAACTTAGAACCTTTTGATATTTCAATATTTGTAAAAAAAATAATAATTGGCTGCAATATAGATTTTTTGTTTAGATTTTATCAAGATTTGTATTAAAAAAATCCCCTAGATTACTAGGGGAAAAATCTTTTTAAGTTATCTTAAAAAATGGGTCTTCATTTAGATTAAATATAAATGCACCATTAGTGTTGATAGTGTTAGTTCATGCCCTTGGCCCCCTATATTATCCATTTTCTTTTTAAGTAAAATGTTAGTAAGCTTTATTTATATATATTATTTATTTCACAGACCAAGGCCTCAAAGCGCTCCATAGTAAAAACAGGTAAAAACAGATAAAATACAAGTTAAAATGTGTGTACAAAAAATAAAACTACAATGGGGTGGACTGGAGTCAAAGGGGCCAAAAGCCTTCTTTCTTACATTTATTCAATACAGTATGGTATTAAATCTTATCTAATCGTATCGTATCGGACTCAAAGAGCGTAATTTTTTCCATTTGATGAAGACATTGTTTATAGCTTTACATTTACCAGGTATTACGGCGTTTTAACTAAACTTTGTTTTGGAAACTCAGGTAATGATGTGTGCTACATTGGGGAGCGGCTTGTTTCCATGTAAATATTTTTCTCGGCCTGGTAAGTTCTTGGAAAGTCTGGTCCCGTATTTTGAGCCGGCTTATCTCCTGAAGCACAGCTAAATCCATATTTGTCAAGTACAGTAGTAAATAGTTTTCATCAAAGACACCTCAACCCAAACCGCAAAAAAATGAGTGTCCATTTTTTTGTCACGCTACATCGAGGCAAAGACGTGTTTACTTTTCTGGGGTGATTCAGAAATCCATCAGTCCCACTTTGGAATAAAACGGCAAAAATGAGAACGCTCTTTTGGAACGGCAGGCTTTTTATAATCATTTTCTCTGACAGATCTGAGCTGCCGCATAAGAACGCTTTGTGAAAGTGCAATTGGCTCCAAAGCGCTTGGTTTTCTTGTGCGAATTGCCAAGAAAGGGGGTCACACTTTTCCTGCCAAGTGAAATCCACCGTGTTTCCTCATCAACGGATGGATACAGCAGAACAACGAAAAGAATTTTAGAAAAAAACAAAGAATGATGTTTTGAAGGGGGATGAGGAAAGGAAGTGATATGGGCGTGCTGACTCACAATGACCCCGCTATGTTTCTTACCAGCGGCGTTACGGGTATTTATACATTGGCGTAGGCAGTGCAGCCCCCTTACATAAGCCATTACACACACGATTGGGAAGCCCTAGGTGAATGGCAGGTTTAGTCCTAGTTATTGACTTCTCTCTCCCTGCCTTTTCATCTTCTCTCCTCTGATCCGTTTCACTTTGGAGTCCGGCAGTTGTAGCTCTAGATCCACGTCTTGGCAGAGTCTGCAGGAAGGAGTTGGAAGCCGCAGCTCTTGTCTGGCTCGCATGGATCCGGCCGCATGCGTTTTGGATGGAGTGCCAGGAATGTTTACTGACCGGCTCTGAGGCAGTTTTCTCCCAAAACATAAGTCAATATACACAAGGGCTGAAGGATTTTTGTCAGTTTGACTCAAAAATGCATTATGTAATTTTGTTTGGTTCCTGATTCTTTTCTTTGTTTCTATGTGAATTTTGGCCCAGTGGAGAAATATTTGATTCTAGATTATTTTGAATTTTGAAGTCTCGCAAGGCATCCATCAACTATTGACAACTGCATTGACATTGAAAGACTGTGGCAGTAACAGTGTAAGGAGCTGAAGACAAGATGCATTCTCAGTTGGAGTCAGGAGCTCAGGCCGCACCAGTTTATATTTCTTCAGGTACATACTCTTATATGTCCTCGCCTTTCACTGTGATTGAGTTAAATATTATGCAGTGAATTTAGTTAGACACAAAATAATATAGATTTTTTTTTTGCTCAGTTATATTTAGAGATGCACCGATCCAGCTTTTTTACTACCGATACCGATACCAGAGCTATGGGTTTCTGCCGATACCGATATTGACCGATACCGGAAATGATCATGCTAAAATATATTTAATAATTGAACTCTTTGTTCAAGTAACTGCAAAAGCAGTGGATGAACTAAAGCACTAAACTTTCCAGATAAAAATGGATTCAACATAAATGTGCAATACTGCAACTATAAAGAGCTGCTCAATGTTCACATTAAACATTCCAACACTGTATTATACCTTTATCATTACCATTATACATTTATTGAATATAAATGTACTGTGTTTGAATAAAAAAACACTTACAACAAACAAAACACGCTGCATGAAAATGTAAATAAATAATAGTACCGTAGCTTTAACTGGATTTCAGATATGTATTTGGCGACGGCATGTACCTGGGTTCCAAATGGTCTATGGGGCTGCGAGCCCAAGCTGATTAACTCCAACACTTTCGGGTTGTTGCTGAAAAGATTTTTGTGACGCTGCGTCAGTGTCATCTGTGTCTTGTTGTTTTCACGTAATCTCCTTTCGATGCAAAAACTCCCCATGCTGTTTCTCGTGGTGCTTAGTCGTGTTGTATTTCGCTAGTTTACCGCCGCGTGAACAACGCTCTTTCCTGCGCTCCATGCTGTGTTGTTGTTGTAGAGCGCCACGAGGAAGTGACGTGTACGTGAGATCTGATAAATTACTTTTAATTAATTCATTTTATACATATATGTACATTATGCACAATGTATTTTAAGACATTGTGCGGTACCTGGTATGTATAAAAAAAAAATATATAATTTAAAAAAAAAGAAAATGCATCGGCAGCACAGCGCCTCTCTCTACGCAGATATCCGATCCAGTATTTTTTCTGTTATCTGCGCCAATATCGATACCAGTATCGGATCGGTGCATCCATAGTTATATTATGTTTTTAATTGAAGTGTTCAGAAAACAAGATTTGTCAATTAGTCAAAAAAGTTAAACATTTTATCGTCCAGTGCTAAAAGTGCATCAATGCTTTGGTAAAGGCCAGAACCCTCAGAATTCAGTCCCAGAGATTGTTTGATTAATGCATTTATTTTTGATCGCTTAGGAAAAGTTGGCGGCTGTGGGTAACGTTCATGCTTCACAGCAAGAAGGTTGTGTGTTCAATCCAAGATGAACCCAGCCCTTTCTCTGTGGCGTTTGAACATATTTTTCTTTTGACAGGTGACCCATATGGCAGTGTAACCATGGAGATGTACTGGCTCCACGACTATTCATCATTAATTAATTCTTATCAATTTAATTTTAAATAAGATAAGATACTCCTTTCTTGTCTCCCATAGGAGAAATTTGTCTTTGGACAGGGCTCCACATGCTTTACACCACATACATTTGCATACACCATTATACCAACCTCTTTCAAACCAGTTGATATGGTCTAAAGCCATTACGGCTACATGTGACGCAGTGACAGCTGTAACCTGCATTGTTCTCAAACATCTCTGTTGTTCTTGTCTGAAGTCACGAGGTCCTGTCAGTGTTCAGTGGTGACATGTGGACCACTGCTGTTTATGTTGTGCTCTGATTTCCCCCACTCTGACATATGGTCTGTGCAGGAGGTTAATCAAAATCTGGGCCTTGTGGCCTCCGTGGCCCATCACACACACTCCATGAGGGCGCCGCAAGATACCATCAAAGCCAAGAGCTTTCAATATACTGTATGCAAGTGTAAAGCAGTGGGAGAGTAGCACATGACTGTTGCTGTTACATAGTGAATGAAAATGGATATATGGAGATGTGTTCCTACAGCTCCATGAGTTTGGACGATAGATATATTTAATTCATTCCTGAATACAAGAGCATCTGCATCAGAAAGACATCAGAGTTTACAGCAGTCCTTGGTTCTGGCAAAACAACAATAAAAATGTATCGCATAACTCAACGTGACGGCAAAAACACAAGCCGAGTATCTTTATTTTATCCATGTTATGTGAACATGAACATGCTGGATTGATTTTTTTCAGGAAAAACATCCACATATGGAATGTGACAGCTGTGTGCAGAAGTGGATTGTTTACATACTGTTCTCGTTGAACTGTTGATTTTTTTTAGATCCTGAAACGATCCTGTTGATATGACTTTGTTTCTTCTCATATTTTAAATGTGCGCCTGAACAACATGTGATTCAAAAACCTATTTGGTAAGAGCTGTAAAAGCTGAACAACAATTTCTCTTTCACTAGTCTGATACTGCACCGTTTACTTTAGCGACATTAATCATCATTGATAACAATTACAAATGATGCAGCAAACTGTCGGTCTGTCAGCACCGCCGATTCAATCATCTCAATACGGGTCTCGATAAGCGCCTCAAAAAATTTATTTGATACGATACAATACATTTCTAAAATGACATGCTACTTTTGAGTAATAAATAAAGGCTCTGTCACATTTGAAGAAGAAAAAACGCTTGGATGCATTTATGTATAGTTTATGAAATTTTTGTTTTGTTTTTAAAAGTCAATGTAATTAAATGAAAAACATAGTAGGTCATTATTTTAGCAGACCTCTTGTCTGAGGTCATGTCTCAGCTGAACACATGTTTTATTGTGGCACAGCACATGCAGCACGACCAGTTGTTTCATGTGTTGCATTCACATGGTTTTATAGCAGTGCATCAGTTCCCCTTGGAATCTTACACATTGCTGATAGATACAATAGGAAATATCTGTATTGTCCAATTTTCTTTCTATATGTTTTACCAGAGCCAAACCAAGAAGGAAAAGACAAAAAAAAAATTACAATCTAGTTTTTAAGTCTAACTCTTTCTTGGTATCAGTAGAAACTTTTCTGGATTAGTACTCGATAAACTCAACCATGGGCATGTTACAGGCAGACGGACAGTAATGCCGGTGACAGCATTTGTATCTGGGACATGACTTCACACATACACACGCACAAACACACACACACGCACAAACACACACACACACTCTGCAGCGCTCTCATATTCACCACAGACTGACTCCCTGCCAGATCCCCGCAGATCAGACTGCAGCAGCTCGGATACATGTGTCGGTGTATTAAAAGTTCTGGAGCTCACGTTCATGTTTTATTGATTTACATGAAGACTTTTGCTCCGCCGCATCGATCGCACCAGCGCTTACACAATGCGGTCACATGACTGCTTTGCACATTTTGGATAATGCAAGTGTTCCAAAAACAAAATACAATGGGATTTGTGGGCTGGTCTGTAGGGCACGGCAACATGAGCTACATGATTACAAATACAATTCTATCACAAATGAAATGGAACGTTGAAACATATTTTTCTGTTGGTTTAATATTATTATTCATATTAATATTATACACATTAAATGCTCTTTAATTCTTATGTACTTCCAGCAGGTGTTCAGTACAGAAATCTGAACACACACCAAAAACAGATAGTTAGGCCTGCTTTAGCATTCTTATGACTTTGGGAAATGAACCTCAGTTTTAGCTTTGAGTAGACGACAGCAACTTCTGTCACAATATGAGAAGGATTTACCACAATAAAGATATCATTTTCGATCACTGGTTTATAGCCTCGATGAAGTCTTCAGATCAGCTTTTCCAGACTGGAAAGTGAAAAACATAAATTTTTTTATAACAGGATGACGACAGTATATTGTGGTCTGATTTGAACACAAAATGTTATTTTTCTGTTGCGACGTTGTTTTCATGAAATCAAGAAAGGGAGGAGCCACAGCGGTTGTAATCATGGTTGAGGTTAATGTACCTTTATCTCCTCTGCCTTTGACCCATCCTACGATGCCACTAGGTCAACCTCTGAGGAGCAGTGGTCACTGCAGTACAGCGCCCGGGACCCAGTCCAGATGTAGATGCTCAGCCTGGTCGGGACCGGAGTTGGAGGATTTTACCTATTGCATGTTTTTAGTGGTAGGGGACACCGGAGCACCCAGAGGAAACCCTTGGAAATGCTTTGACATTGCTTGGTGATGTTGGATTGCAAAGACCATTGCAAGAACATTGGAAATTGACCTGAAGAGCTAAGAGACGGGTGAAAGCCAGAGAGAGAGGTATGGACTGGAAGCTCCTTCACTCTCTACTTCAAAAACGTAAATGCATGTCATGTTGTAACCTGCCTTTCCTTGGGAAAAGATGTGAGAAATGTTTTTGCTTTTGGGGCTACAAGTTAAGGCATGTAGGAGACAGAAGTTCTGACCTAGATTCAGACCAGGATTGGACTTAAGCACAACTTTGGCTCAGTCTGAGTTCCTAAATAATGATACGACACAAACAGTTACTGGGACTTACTTTATGAAACGTGATTTAAAACCTAACTTTGAAAGCCGGTAAGTAATATTTGTATACACTATAAGCTACATTGTATTAAAGAATTATGAGGTACACAAATTTTTGGTTCATACATTTATTTCATTGCCACTTTAAGTACAGTTAGACCCATTGCACAGTTAAGTGTAGAGTGAGCCTACACGCTAAGAAGATGATGA